GAACATGATATGCACACCGGCACGATTCATTCACCAGACTTGAATGCCTGTTGAATTTGATTACAGCTAGTAGTACTTAGATTATTACGCCCTAGCTAGATCATGCTTTGCATAAGCCCTATGGCCACATGCATGCATGCGTACTGGGACTGCATGATTCTGGCTCAAGCGTAAAAGGTCAATCTGGCTTGTTTAATCGTGCGACTTTTGGGTTTGTTAGTGGCTCAGATGTCTGTTTCTTTCTCGTTGCTTGGATTTGCAGCTTAAAAAGGTCCATGAAAATTAGGTCGTCCACGTCAAGTTACCTCCACGTGCCATCGGCGAATTCTACGTGATGCCTCAGTTATCTCATGATATTTTTTAAACAAAGGCAAAAAAATTGCCTCATCGATTAATTAAGTAAAAAAGAATTGCTCAACTAATTACAAAAAACTGAGCAAAAAACAATATAAATGACCACACTTAAAGCATGAACTTCATATCCGCACACGTTACCATACAAACCGTCCCAACGCACGACAACCGCAATCCCCGATACATCTAAGAGTATCTAAAGCCGGACTTTATAAATCCGGCCTCGGATGTGACCAGACGCATCCGTGGACAATGACTGATCACGTTCCAAATTACACTTTGCATCTGTCTCTCTCATATTTCATCTCTTAGATCCATACAATGCAAAAGAAATTCTACGTACTATCCTAACTACTCTCTATCGGAGATGTGCATGACGACAGTGCTGGGTGCTGGGTGGACGAGCGGGTAGGAGGGCTTCGACTCATCTTTCTCATGCTCGACCTCATCCTTGTAGGTGAGCATCTTCGCCTCATCCGTGGCCTGCTGCGCCTCCATCTCCTACCGGTGATCGCGTCTGGCCTCCGCAGCCGACTCCGACCGGAGGCAATTGAGGATGGCCTACAGCTCCACCTATAGATCCCCGTCGCCAGCATCCCCCACATCCTCCTCCTCAAAGTCCTCCACCTCGTCCTCCTCCACCACCACCTCCTCCGGATCCACTACATCCGGAGGTAGGCCCGTGGTGATCCGGGCTTCGCGCCCAGCCCGGATCTGCTCAAGGAGCTCGAGCGGGCGCTCCGGCGTAAAAAATGGCTCGCTCCTCACCCGACGGCGTGGGGGCATGGATACTAGGCAGACGGGTGGAGTGGAAAGTGGCGGCGACGACATACAGGAGGAGAAAAATGTGGATGGATGGTAGGGTTTCGGTACCGTCGGTCGACTTAAATAGCCAAGCTAGGCGCTACGCGGCCCGCCGGAGATGCGCCACGCGGCGCCACCGGTCCGACGGACGAGACGAGCTTCGGACCGCCGTGTTCAGGGCATTTCTAGCTAGAACCCCTTCGTCAGTCCGACGTGGCGGGCGTGCCCGAGCGCCCCTATATCCGCCTCATATTTCAATTGGATATGAGGTGTGCCGGTCAGCCCGGATGTTTGAGGCATGTTTGAGGTGTCCGTCTGGGTCGAAAAAACATGACCGGACGGTCCCCCGGCATTTGAAAAGGGTTTGAGACACCCGCCCGTAGATGCTCTAACATCCCAGATCTTATGATTTTCGCCAAAGTTTATTTACTGCGAGAGCTAGTCCATGTGAAGTAGATAGATCTTGCGGTTTCGCAGCTTCAAAATTGTCTATTAAAATCAGGCCGTCCAAGTCAAATCAGCTCCACCATCAAATCATCAGCAAATTCAGCAGGACGCGCTGAATTACGGTCACGCAAAAAGCTAGGCCCATGTAATGTTGAAATAATTCTGCGATACCCTGCATTCAAGTCAGGTTTTCTTTTGTATGGATCGTAAGTCTGCGATACCCTGCATTCAAGCCAGGTTTTCTTTTGTATGGATCGATTTTCCTTTCAACGTGTATGTAGGTACGAACGAATCCTTGGAAGGAGAAGGTGAAAAGGAGGTTGGTACGTACGAACACACGTTGCTGATGGCGACCAGTCCCGCACGCATACTGATCCACTAGAACACCATCTTAATTCGCACATGCGGTGAAAAGAAGTAGCAAGGGTATCTCCAAGGGCAACCCGCAAAAAAACTTTCGCATCCGTTTGCGGACAAAGGGTACAAGTATATGAACATGGATACAGAAGACAGTCATCCAACGCTAGCTGCACATATTTTTACAATAACTCAAATCAGTCGGACAAAATTCATGCAAACAAGTGGATTTCATATAAACACGGACTAATTTTATATAGACATGGCGAATTTCATTATAAATACATGGAATCGGTTTTAGGCGACTAATCTAAATGATCACCGGCGTCTGGTTCCTGTCTCTGGCCAAGAACCAAGAGAACGGAAGCTTCGCCTTTTTCAGCTCCGCCTCCGTGACCTCCGCCTCCTGGAGCCCAGGGAAGTGAAGTTGTCCGCCTCGACCTCGCCGCCAAGTGACTAATTGGCCGTCAATGCTGAGCCCACCAAGCTTGGTGTCGACGAGAGGGGAGAGCGGTGGCCTTCTTTGGACCCGAGCGGCGACCTATCGTGCACTACTATTTCTCGCTACCGGTAGCGCCCGCGGACGTGTCGGCTTCTTCGTGGTCGTGGCGCAGGGGCATGGCCTCCTCGTTGTCGGAGTCGTCGAACAAGCCTCACCCGCGTCGTCCTCCCGCTCCTTGCCGACGGCCTCCACCTCCGCCACCCACTGTCGATACTGCCAGGAGGCGAGGCGGAGCGGTAGGACTCGAGCAGTGCCTCCTGCTCCGCCAGGTCCGCGTCCAGCGCGACCGCCCTGCCGGCGGCGACCTGCTTCTCCGCCTGCAGATGCTTCTAGAGGTTGTGGATGTAGTTGGTGTCGGCATGCGCCTCCCGGAACTGCTCCTCTCGCACCATTTCCATATAATGGGCACGAGCCTCGCCGACGGTCAGGGTGCAATGCACCGGTGAGGGTGCCGCGGAGGAAGAAGACGGACGGGCGGGTGGTCGTCGTGTCGTTTGAACGCGTGGCAGTCGCTTGCACCCGGAAGCGGCGCCGGCGGCGCTCTCTCGACCGGCGCGCCACTTCAATGCCGGCGCCAGTGAGCGGTCGCGTCCGCTCTGAGCGGGCATGAATGCGGGCGCTGACGCTCTGGAGCGACGCTGACCGAAAATGCGCCGGAGGGGTGAGGGGTTTTTGATGGGACAGGGTGGTCAGAAACAGGCTTGTGATCGGTCCAGACTCCCGCAAACCTTTCCCACTTTTGTCTCCAATTTGCGGGAGAAATCGCGTCTGGACCGCTCTGCGGACCGGTATAGGGCCATGTTGGATGGCTTCCACGGTCCGAACAGTCCGGTCTAGACAGTTACGGGAGGTTTACGGGTCGGCGTTGAGAATGTCCTAAGTGAAATACGGGGACAAATGGAGTGTTAAGGTAGCATGGCACGCGTGCATGGGCGTGGGTGAGTGTGAGATGTGACTACGTGACCTAGCTAGTGGTAAGGTGGAGATTGGTCACACATACTTATGCATGCGCCGGTTTTGCTAAGCTAAGATGCTACTGAGTGCTTATTACCGAGTCAAATCAAATGAGGGAGTGTGTCTCTGCCTGCCACACGACAGGTAGCTGCAATTGAACATATAAAAGATGAACTAGTGCGCCCAACTAGCAGCACCAGCCACGTCTCCTTTTATTCATCTATGAGCAGTGGGCGTGTTGCTGCAGCGACGAGCGAAAGGATAAGGCCCCGAGCGCCGCGTCCAGCTTCCTCTCCTCTCCCTTTCACCCTGGTTCGCTTCCTCCCCCCGAGCCCGCAGATCCCTAGCACGGTGAAAACCCTAGCCTATCGGCAGCCTCCTCTCATCCCCAATCCCATGCCTCCTCTTCTCCCAATCCCCACCTCCTCCCCTCCTCCCCAATCTGCCGCCTCCTCTTCTCCTCCCCAATCTGTGAGCCCTCACCACCAAGAAGCCACGGGCTCCTCTTCTCCTCCCCAATCGTGAGCCCTCACCACCAAGAAGCCACGGAGGCCTGCGCCGCCACTGAAGAAAAAAGGAAGAGGAGGTGGCACGGGGGAGACCAGAAAAGAGGAAGAGGAGGTGGCGCGGGGGAGACCAGCGGCAGCGACGGGCTCGACAAGGAGGCGAGCTAGAGCGCGGGCTGTCGTGAGCGCTGCGTTGCCTGGGAGACACCATGAAGCAGGTGCTTTTATCCTCCCCAATCCGTGAGCCCTCACCACCAAGAAAATCAGTTCGTTTGCTGCCAGTTAGATCAATCTATTCATCGTTTTTCCTGTTCCTCATAGGCTTGAGTTTGTCCGCTTGGTGGAGCGGGAAGGGAGCAAGCAGGCAGATATGGGAGAAGGAGAATGACCCTGACGACATGGCCACCATAGGGTCGTAACCTTCTTTAGCACACACATAGGCACCGTCCCCGCGGTCACAGCAGGAGGACAACATTGGGGAACGAGAAAGTCAGGTACTACTCATGTGACGGTGCAAGAGCCCATCCTGGTCGAGCACCATCCCAGGTTCGTGTTTCTCCCTATAGTTCTCTGAATTTTCCTGCACAGTTTTTTAGGTTTGCATATTCTTTTTGTTTATATGTATTTACAATGTTTGATTATGACCCCAATGAGGATAAAGAGATTTTAATTGTGTGTGTGTGTGTGCGCGCGCGCAGCTTGTCTGGTGGGATGGGGATTTAGAGGATAAATTTTATGGCAGTAAGGATGTCAAGTTTAAGACGTCAGATTTGAGGGGAAAGGAATTTACTCTCTTCTAATCAAGTGAAGAGAGGTTGCTGGTTTAAAGGGAATCCTTACTTTAACATGATTTCTTCCAATTCAACAAAGTCAGGTGCTACTCATGTCCTTTCATGGTATGGCTTATGTGACTACAAAGTATATTACTCTCTGTTATTTCTTTGATCCCCCAATACTGTTAGCTTTCTAAATAAGTCAGGTGCCACTCATGTCCTTTCATGGTATGGCTTATGTGACTACAAAGTATATGCAGGTGTGGAGCTACTCGAGGCAGCAGGACATTATGGCACACGGAGATGGGGATGGCCATGCCCGCGCTGATGCCGTCGGCCGACGTTGATGAGAGCATCACGGTCGACAACGGCTCCAACGACCTCTCCAGGAGCTTCTCCATCAGCTCCTCGGACGACACCAACTCCATTATCATGTTCTCCACACCCGGAAGCAAGAAGGCCAAGGTGCTCATCGACACCGATGGCGGCATGGTCACCAGCCTCAGCAAAATCTAATCCCAAGTAGGATAAGCTTCACATGTATACACTTCACATCCATCCGCACTCTGCTGCCCGTCAATTGTTTAATGCTACACTTCTACTAACACCTTGGATCAAATTCAGTTTGGCATGTTGACCACGTATTTGGACATGCCCGGCATGGACGACTATCTGCAGCTGCAGCAGGACTTCATCGCCTGCACAGTCCACACCAAGCATGGCTGCGCCACTCACCCACGAAGCATCGCTGAGAGGGTTAGTTAGTTTCCTGCAATATTTTTGGTGTTTGTCTTGGTGCCACATGTTTGTACTGAATATTTTTCTTGCTTATGTTGTTTAGGAAAGAAGAGCAAGCAATAGCAAGAGGCTAAGGAGGCTGCAAGACTTTGTGCCCAATATGGACAAGGTAACTAAATCAGTTGAATTGATGCACACTGTGTCACCATAGAGATGAATTTTCACCATGAATTACAGAAGCTCATACTCTCTAAAGTACTAAAACTGACGGCTACATTCCTGCATATTTAGATATATAAAACTAACTACTAAAGTACTAAAACTGACGGTTCTAATCCAAACTGGAAGTATTGCCTACAGAAATTCAGAACCTTGGTAGGTGTTGATGATTCAGACCTTAGTTACTTCGGACTTCAGAATTGCATTTGTGCAGCTATTCTCTAGGAGAAGACGTGCAATACAAACATATTAATAAGTTTCTTCTTGAATACGCAGCAAACAACTATGTCAGACAAAGATCTGGAGTACCTGCTCATATCTGGTGAGCGGGTAGCCTCTCGCCCCAAACGCCCAAGCTCCTGGTGGTATCCTACTCCACTCGGTTTCTTCTTCTTCCATGCCTACACAGCTCTAGCTTTTTTTTAGTTTAGCCCGTCTAAATTTCTGTCATATAAAATCTTATGAAACAATGTGCTACTATTCTTATTACTGAACTATGTCAATCTGTTTTTTTTAAGTTGGGGAGTGATGAATCGAACAAGGAGGAAGGCCGACGTGTTTGTTCTTCAACCATTTCCCTCTGAAACCTAGGTTAGGATTGTCCCCTGTTAAGTATGTGGTTGTACGTTGTACCTGCTACTAAATTAGCCATGCGCACATGTTCAATTTTTGACTTTTTCTTGCCTCTAAAACCCAAGTTAGGATTGTCCCTTGTTAAATGTGTGCTTGTACCTACTGCTAAATTAATCATGCACTTCCATTTTGGTTGCAGAAAATTGGGGGGGATCATGGCTGGAGCATATGTGAACTTGGCCTCCGGTCATTTGAGTCAGGTTTCTGGTTTTGCTTGGGAGAGTAGCATGTGTTTCCCATTTGTTTATTTAAATAATTTGTATCTAATTCATGTGAACCAGATCGTGCTTGGGAGAGTAGCATGTGTCTGATGAGAACGGTGATGTGGCGGACGAGCTCGCCTGCTCCTGTTATGAGGACGAATGAAACGAGGTCTCGTGGCAGCTAGCAATTATGACGGGTGGAAATACAGGTTTGCATTGACGCAGAAAAGACAGACATACCGTAGCAGGACTGCATGATGTACTGGCGGTACAGGTCGTACCGAACGAGGTGTGCAGTCCACGAATCACGGCGTCAGTCCGACAAGTGGTGGGCCCATTTAATACGACATCTCACGGGTTGGCTGGTTCTGTTTCGTTTCTGTATCCCCTTGTTTTGATGCTTATCGAACAATGGCGGCCTTGGCGACGGATGGCGGGACTGGATCCAGTCGACAGGTATGGTTTGCGAGCATCCCTACTAGATTCGAATATTGAGCATCTGCCGTTTCCTTAGAAGGGTCGCCCCAATCCCGGTGAACAGGTTCGCTGTCCCAACCATGTACGGCAGTGTGTTCTGAGTGGCAAGTTGGCAACCCAGCCGACACTAGATCTGGTTGAAGCGGACGGCAAGTGCAGAGTGGGAGGAGCCGTGGATGTGTTCGCGCCTCTCCAACTGAACCTGAACACGCTGTGCGATACGAGCAGCTTATCGCCCCCGGACTCTGAACAGTCCACGAGCAAGGACGACCCGCAAGCTCCTGGTTGGACACGGAGGTGATTTCATTGTCCTGCACTTTCGTTAAATTCATTAAGTAAATATGAAATATTTTCTTGAGTTTGAAGTATTGCAGTCAGGAATTCATGCTCTCTGATAAGACACCCATATTTTGTGATTGTGCTTAACTGCAGACAAAAGCTATGTGATGCAGGGTGCTTGTTGGACAGGCTCCTGCGCCTTGTTCGGGTAGAGTTTGTGGCCTTGAGAAGACAATCAGGGGGTTAGCTGAGAAGAAGACTAACACTTGTTAGAATAAATCCGAGGCATACCGTCGATCATCCGAGGACCAAGCAATCACATGAGCACGACACCGAGATTTGTTAACGAGGTTCACCGATATGGCTACATCCCCGGGGCTTGACTACGGCGCTCCTCCCCGTGACACCGTCACAATACCGCACCCGGTCGCCCTGGACACCGGCACATGCCGCCAGCTTCCCCTGCGTTCCGGTGCTATTATGTTGGCATAGGTTACATCGTGTGTCTACCCCCGCTATATAAGAGAGGCCTAGGATACAAGTGTCCTACTAGGACACGACTCCATATCCTATGTAAACACGATACAACTACAAGTCCAACTGTAACCTACCTTGTACACTATATTCGACACAACTCTAACAAACTCCACCTTGGCGAATATACTCCACCACCCTAGATTTGTGAATGCGTCAAACTTCCATGTACATTGGACTTGAGTTTATCCCATGAGCACCGCTGCTACTCCAAAGACTCCATGTGACTCCACCTGCAACTTGTAGTCCCTTCTTTTCTTGACCAGAGCCAACATTCGAGCAAAATTAAGTTCCTTGTTACTCTAGTTTGGGCTCCCAACTTCCAGAGTATCCGTCCAACGCAATCACACACTGATCACTGACCTGCGTGAAAAATGAACAACTCACATATTGGGTGTCACATATAAGAGTTACCTGAACTCAACATCACCGCTCCTTCCTTGACCGCCTGTCTGAAACTTGAAGGAATTTCACCATTGCTTGTAGTCATCTCGAGTCAAATTCGCACTTGTCTCACCACATGTATGACCACCAGAGCCCTGGCCCGTCTCCATGCCCCGTGCGTACCGCACGCCTCGCCGCTATTACTGCGTCGAGCCTCCGCTGTCCCGATCGAGTCTCAAGGGTCACGAACCCACACACTCAACCCCCACTGCAGAGTACCATCGATCATCACCGACCGATGACGAGTTTCACGCTTCCATCAGACCACTGGGCTCCGGTCCGAACTGCATGTCACTCGCTTTTTCCCGTCCCCGCTGAATAGGCTTCGACTCTCTGTGCACTTACGCCGTAGCCCCTCAATCAGCACCGAGTGAAGTCCTCCAGACTCCAGCTCCATCTTCAACATGACTCTGTCCGTGTCGCACTCTTTTCTTTTTTTTGTCCAAAACAAATCTCAGTCTGTACGCAGCTCACACACGTCAATCAACATCTCCAGCGAACCAGCAACATTGGCCGTTGCAAGGCCCTTCCCGGCAGCGCACCATGGGCCTTCCAGACGTCCTCCGTGCGCCCACAGATGGGCCTCCCGCCATGGGCCACTACATGCCAGGGATCACAACACGTATCCGCGCTGCCGCCTGACGCTCACCCGATCGATCAGGTGATCGACCGCCGCACGTCCTTGCAACGCACATGCACCCTTCCGCTGTCCGATGCCTGCTGCAACTCCTGGATTCCGCTGTTCTTGCCGTCGATTGCATCTGCGGACGAACTCGCTACCAGTTCATCCACACCGATGCCTTCGATCATAACCTCCAGATCAACAATCGTGGCCTCCAAATAACCTAGCTCATGATACCATTTGTTAGAATAAATTCGAGGCATATCGTCGATCATCCGAGGACCAAGCAATCACACGAGCACGACACCGAGATTTGTTAACGAGATTCACCGATATGGCTACATCCCCGGGGTCTGACTATGGGCGCTCCTCCCCATGACACCGCTACAATACCGCACCTGGTCGCCCTGGACACCGGCACATGCCGCCGGCTTCCCCTGCGTTCCGATGCTATTATGTTGGCATAGGTCTACCCCCGCTATATAAGAGAGGCCTAGGATACAAGTGTCCTACTAGGACACGACTCCACATCCTATGTAAACACGATACAACTACAAGTCCAACTGTAACCTACCTTGTACACTATATTCGACACAACTCTAACAACATTGTTGTTGGAAGTTGGTTTGACTCATTATTAGGCGAGGTGACTACTAGTATGTTGGATTCGAAATTGGTACGGCGAGAGCAAGAGCAAGGTTAACTTTGAAAAGACAAAGTGCATATAGGGGATAGTATGTGGGTGCTCGTTATGGCCTGACTTCGTTCGGTTAAACATTGTGTTCGCTCACTAGCTGAAAAAAAAGTTGTGCTAAAACTTTTTATCAAAAAAAAATTGTGCTAAACTGGTTTATAATTACTGGGTAAGCCAAAAAGGACCAACACAAGATCATGCCGGTGCGAGGATCCAGCGATGATTCGTCTACTCAGCTCGGAGGACAACAACTGATACATAAGCGAGCACAGGGCCAAGCCATCGCAGTTCAACGACGACAAGTTAAAGTTATGTGTGTTTGCTCGGTGAGTGTCATGTTCGCCTTCTGGACATCATTTCTGGTAGGCCGACATAGTCGGTGTGTTTCATGTTGACTCCTTTATATTTTTGGCAGGGAAGCCAAAGAAGTTGAACACTCGATCTTGCGATGTGAGTGCCTGGCAGTGATAAGGCTACTGATTTACAATGCGAGTTACTAGTTGTCCGTCCAATTTGTACAATTTGATTTTCTCTTGTAAGCTAGGATTTTTCTAAACCTGTATACATTTTACGTAAGCATGTGTTAGTGGGAAAAGAAACCAATCAGTGGCAATCGGTGTCGCCAGTGTATTGCTACAAATGACGATTGTCATTGAGGCCTGTTGTGTTCTCTGAATCAAACTTTCTATTTGTTCCCTGATGATACTGACTGGTCCTGTGCGCCAGCCGCCCTGAGGCCACCTTCTATGTGTGGGGCAGCGGGGAAACTGTGGTGTTTGAATTTCAAATGCGCTGGGAGGGGAGCACGGTGCAACTAGCAGGGTCAGAGACTGGATCCATTAAGGCCTCTTTATGTGATGTTAATGCGGTGTCGACAACATATCATTCTGCCTCTGTATGATGCAGTTGAATCTCTTAAAGGTGATACTTATTTAGATTGTTCTGTTTCAAGAATTAATTGACTGAAGCAGCCAAGGTGATATTGTTCCGATAACCTTGCTTTGTTCTTTCACTCACTGTGTGCAATCCTTAATTGAATAGCTCCACATGATAAGTATGGTTTGATTTTCAGTTTGCTTTATGCCTCTTCTTTTTTAGGGAGTTATATGCCTTCTTAAAACTGTGGTATTTGTGTGAATTCAGTCCTTGAGTTAGTACTTATAATATTTGTTGTCTATAGATGAGGTACTCAAGGTGATATAAGATTCTTCCTGTGACCTAAGTACAATCAGATGTTTCTTATTTATTCTTTGGACAATAATCTTGAGCTGAAACTATTACCAAGTTCAACAAAATATCAGAATATCCTAGCTGAGTAGTTCATGCTACTGTTACAACTGTTGTTCCTGCTAGCTAGAACACGTTCTAGCTTAACAGTTGCACTGGACTAATCTTTTGGCGGGCTTGTGAGAAGTAGTTGCATTTCAGATCCGCCTTGTATCCATTGAAAATCGATGAAAAAGAAGAGATTAAGAAAAAACACTGCTCATATATACATTATTTGTTCATATGGACGTTCTTCTGTGCTAAAAAAACATAC